AAATCATGCTGTGTGTATTTTAAATATATATTACATGTTTGTCACAGGGACTTGAAGCAGGGAGAAGGGAGAATCAGAAGTGTAGAGAGAAAGGTATGTCATTGAATAATTCTGCTGGAGTTTGAACGTTGCAATTTATTACTACTCATATAGTACCAGAGATGTACTTGAAACTTCTTGTGTTTGACAACAAGGTTCCTGCCCCAAGTAGTTCATAATCTAAAGAAGAGAGAACAAAAAAGCAAGGTAATGCTGATTTTACAAAGGAAGTGGATCATATAATTTGTTCCATGTTTTGTATGTTGCTTTATTTTCTTTTTTTAAATGTCAGAGAGCACCTGTAGATAAACCTGGAGCAAAGATTAACAATGGAAAGTAAAGCAGTTTTAAGAAAGAATTTTAAGGATGAGAATGAGGCTGTTTATTGCATAGAGGGGATACTCATATTTCAGTCAGCAAGTTAAACAGAAAATATCTGAGAGAAAAATGAAGTGGGCAAACCAGAAAGAGATCAGGGAAATGTACAGAGTCAACACAGTGGATTTCTATATTTAGGGAGCTGGCATTTTTGCTCTTTATCAGGTGGCACCAGCTGTGTAAATCAGTTAAAAAGATGCTGCTAGTTCCAGTATCCACGATGATTCCAGTCTCCATGAACTAAAACCTAGATGGCTCTACTGTAAGGTCGGGGCATCTCTGGGAACGGTTTTCCAACCAGTCAACAGTGGTTCACAGTCAAGCTAGAAAGGCATAATGAGTGGGATCGGTCCTGGGTCCGGTTCTGTTCAATATCTTTCTAAATGATTTAGATAATGGCAGAGAGTAGACTTATAAAGTTTGCGGACAATACCAAGGTGGGAGGAGTTGCATGTGCTTTGGAGGATAGGTTTAAAATTCAAAATGATCTGGATAAACTGAAGAAATTGTCTGAAGAAAATAGGATGAAATTCAATAAGGACAAATGCAAAATACTCCACTTAGGAAGGAACAATGAGTTGCACACATACGATATAGGAAATGACTGCCTGGGAAGGAGTACGTGGAAAGGGATCTAGGGGTTATTGTGGATCACAAGCTAAATGAGTCAACACTGTAACTGTTGCAAAAAAAGAAAATGTCATTCTGGGATGCATTAGCAGGAGTGTTGTAAGCAAGACACAAGAATTCTTCCACTCTACTCCATATTGATTAGGCCTTAACTGGAGAGTTGTGTCCAGTTCTGGACGCCACATTTCAGGAAAGCTGTGGACAAAGTCCAGAGGAGAACAAAACAAAATTATGAAAAGGTCTAGAACACATGACCTATGAGGAAAGATTGAAAAAAAACCTACTTCTATGATTTTATGGTGCTACACAAAGCTCAAGCCATGGGTCTGTGGGTCACATGGCAACTTCACAGAGTTCTTATGACAAACATGAAAAAGCCAGAACATCCCCTTTCACAGCACTTTTATATGAGCTTTGTAGTAGCTTCCAGGTCAGGCAGAGAGGAAGGAATAAGAGAGGAAGACCCTGCTCTAGTGAAACTTTTACTGAGGATTATACACACTAACTTCATGGCATCCATTTGCATCCCTTCCTACCCATATCAACTCGCCACCACCAAAGCATCCTGATCTAATGCTCTGCTGTACCTTTTGATTACTGGCCTCTAAGCATTGCTCTATTCCCCTCTAGACATGGATGCCCTTTCAACCCAAACACTGTTGCATCACACTTCATTATAACTACTGCCCTATGCCCTTTCCCATATCGACATCACTAACCTCCTAGCTGGACACTGCCCCAATTCTCCAGCCCTACACAACGACCTAACACCATTATGCCCTTCAGAGATAGCAATACATTCCATAATAAAACCAGCATTATAGCACTCCTTCCAGTGGATATGAAAGGCTCCTCTACATCCCCTTTCTTGTCATGGAGAACATCAAACAACATCCTGACAAGCATTAGATTAGTCAGTATGAGCTTAGTCACTGCACACTCATTGCTATGAATAGCCTTTTACATCGTATCTCTGGGAATCCCACCCTGTGTGTCTACTGGTGGGGACATGCCTGCTGTCACTCGAATTGCCCCTCTGCAAGAAGAATCCCCAAACCAAACCTCTAGAGCTCAGTCTTCAGATGCCCAGTTCATACGCATGGGGAGGGATTAGGAAGGCACTACCAGGATTCAGCACACCTTCACTTAAGTGCCCACTTTGGTCTCAGAGGTCCTATCTACACAAGAAAAATCAGTATCCAAATTACAATAAATGCCACCAATACTGCAGATGTATTGATGATAGCAACAAAGTAAGCTCTAGTGTAGATGAGACTCAAGTGGTTTTATCACCATATCACAAAATCTGCTCTGAGCCATGTTAGAATGATGGTTAGAACACCAAGAGCCTATTTATGCTGTTGCTCCCAACAGTGGGCCTGCACTGGGGCTAAAGCAATAGTGGGAGAATTAAAAGAAAAATAGGAAGATAGGAATTGCCTTTCTAGATCAGACCTGGATCCTATCCAATCCAGTATCCTGCCTCAGACAGTGGCCAGTAACAGATGCCTCAGGGGAAGATGCAAGATGGCTAACATTATGCAGATGATGGATAATCTGCCCCCACATTAGGTCTCCTCCAAATCCCTAATAGTTAGGGATTGGTGTAAAATCAGAACCATGAAGTTTTTAATACCACTTTCAACATCTGTTAGCATTAAATGACAACTTTGAATATTCTTATCCATGTAAATGTCCAATCGCTTTTTCAATCTTGTTATGTTCTTGTCTTCAACAACTTCCTGTGGCAATGAGTGCCACAATCTAATTATGTATTGCATGAAAAAGTATTTCCTTAGATCAATTTTGTATTTGCCACCTTTTAATTTAATTGACCGTCGCCTTTTTCTTGTGTTATGAAACAGGGAGAAAAGAAGTTCCCAATAGCCATTAATTATGTTATATATTTTTGTCATGCCTCCTCTTATTTGTCTCCTGTCTAAGGTAACAATCCTAGTCTTTTCAATCTCTCTTCAAATGCGAGTTTTCCAGGACCTTGATCATTTTCACCAAGCTTCTCTGAACTGCCTCTAATTCTGCACTACTGAGAATAGACTGAGTTTGGCTGGCTGCTGCTTCTCCAATACAAATGCTAATTTTAAACATAAGAACAGCCCTACTGGATCAGCCCAGTTGCCCATCTATCTTGCCCAATATCCTGGCTTCTGACCATGGCTAGTACCATATGCTTCTGAGGGAATAAATAGAATAGAGCTATTTTGAGTGATCCATTCCTTGTCATCCAGTCCCAGCTTCTGGCAGTTGGAGGTTTAGTGGCATCCACATAACTCGCCATCTTGGCTAATAGCCAATGATAGACCAACCTATCCTCCATTAACATATCCAATTCTTTTTTGAACTCAGTTATATTTTTGGCCTTCCCAACATCCCATGGCAACGAGCTCCACAGGTTGACTGTGCATTGTGTGAAGTAGTATTTCCCTTTGTTTGTTTTTAAAAGGATGCCTATTAATTTTCGTCACATTCCCTCTCTCCTCCATCACCCCTGCCTCCGCCAGCTTCTCCTCCCCCACAGACTGTGCAGGGAGAGTCGGACAGGAGGCAAGCTGCAGATATTGTCAGTGGGGAATTGTATTAATTGCTCATGCCACAGACTGTATACTGTGCTTGAACTATCCCATCTAGGTACCTAGAGCAGTGATTCTCAACCAGGGGTATGTGTACCCCAGGGGGTACGCAGAGGTCTTCCGGGGGGTACATCAACTCAACTAGATCAGTGGTTCTCAAACTTCTGTATTGGTGACCCCTTTCAAACAGCAAGTCTATGAGTGCAACCCCCTATAATAATTAAAAACACATTTTTTTATATTTAACGCTATAAATGCGGGAGGTGAAGCAAGGTTTGGAGTGGAGGCTGACAGCTCACGACCCCCCCAAGTAATAACCTTGCGACTTCCGGAGGGGTCACGACCGCTAGTTTGAGAAAAGCATTACCAAAGTCAGTACAAACTAAAATTTCATACAAAGACTTGTTTATACTGTTCTATATACCACACACTGAAATGTAAATACAATATTTATATTCCCATTGATTTATTTTATAATTATGTGGTTAAAATAAGAAAGTAAGCAATTTTTCAGTAATAGTGTCCTGTGACACTTTTGTATTTTTATGTCAGATTTTGTAAGCAAATAGATTTTAACTGAGGTGAAACTTGGGGGTATGCAAGACAAATCAGACTTCTGAAAGGGGTACAGTAGTCTGGAAAGGTTGAGAGCCACTGACCTGGAGCATTTTAACATAGTCCTGCAGCGTCCACAAGGGGCAGTTCAAGTGCCACACACAGCCTGTGGCTTTGGTAGTGAATCCAGCAGTGCCCCAACCCATTCAAAACCACTCTGACTTGCCTCCTATCAGAACCTCACTGCACAGTATGCACTTGTGCCATGGGGGTTGTGAAGAATGCACCAGGCGCACCCCTCCCTCCCCATGCTATTTGCTGTGTTCGTAAGACCCGAGTGGTGAGTGACACACACACTTTATATACATTATATGTGTGTGATTGTAAAATTACTCAATTTATGCCCAAATTAGTAATTTCATAATTACATCTAAAAAAAAACAATCAGAAGAATTACTGAAAGTTAGTAAGGGTTGGCATCTCTGTGACATCACACAAAAAGAATCCCAGAACATGATGCATATGCCCTTCCCAGAACCCCAGCACATTCCTGTCTCAGTCTTTTCCCACCCTCTGTACCCCCACATACACTCACCTCCTTAAAATATAAGCCCCCAACCTGCCTTGCTTTTCTTCTCCCCATCTCAAGCACTCACACTTAACTTTCCAAGAAGGAGTTTTCCATTTGAAATTGTGTGAGAGAAACACAGGGACTTCCTGCTGAAACTCTGAAGAATTCTCTCCATTCCTCTCAGGCTGGACACACATTAGAAAGACTGCAGAAGAACACAGCAGTTAAACAAATCTTACCGCAGCCCTGAACTTCATTTCTGATCCTTTTCAGCTCACAAGGCACTTTCAGAGAGTCAGTTACGCTGTCTCAAAGCAAGAAATCGGAGGACAACTCTCTTCAATCAGCTGCCTTTTTTAATGATATTTTCGGTACTGTCAGGATCCACTCCTGTCTACCCAACTCCTACTGGAGCCTGCTAAAGAAGGCGTTGTATAAGGAGGAGAGTGAGCAAAACAAAACAAAACAAAAAAAACACCTCTCCTCCCCTTCTAAACAGAAAGAGAGAGACAGACACACAGATCGCAAGCTGAAGCTCAAGATAAAAGAAGCCTGCTGCCTGTATGTGGAGCACAAGCTGTCTAATGACAGAGAAAAATGGAAAGAAAAGGAATCAAAGAGGCTGGAAACCTTGGGCCAGAGCCTACAAGCCAAAACCACAGGAAAAAAGCAAAGGCAGCAGCCATATGTTCTGCTGCGGCAAAACTTGCACAAAAAGGCAGCTACAAACAGGAACATCATCAAGTGGGCGACACTGAATCAAACTCAAACACACTGACCTGCAAGTCCACAGCAAAGTTCCTGTGCCTGAAGCTGTAGCTCCTCTCATGACTCCAGCAAACCAAAAGAACCACTGCAGGAACTCGGATGGTAGGAAATGGTTGATTTTCTTGTTTGTCCTTGCAACAGTTTAGCACATGTGCCCAGCAACATTCTGTTCCAGAAATGTTGTGAAACGTCCAGACCTGAAGCTCCTTACAACCAGAGTTGCATCAGCGCATGCTGGCACACCTGCAGCACTTATCCCATAATGTCCAGTATTGCTGCTGGTAGCAGGGGTGTAGTGAGGCAGTGGGATACCCCACAGCCCCGCTGAGGGCCGAACCTCTCCTAACACCAATGTGGGCGGAGCCACCGGGTCCGGCGCCCGCCCCTCAGAGGTCACGGCGCCGACCCGGAAGTATAAAAGCCTGCCTGCAGCGCTCAGTGGAGAACAACCGGCGGAGAGAGCAGACATCTGTGGCCGAGCTCCCGCTTGGGAGACAGCAGCAGGCCGCGACCGGCCTGCTGACTCACCAGGCCAGCCGAGCCTGCCCCTCGCCCGGTACCCTGAGGAGGACTGGCCGAGCCTGCCCCTTTCCAGCTACCCCTAGGAGGGGCCGAGCCTGCCCCTTTCCTGCTATCCCGAGGAGCCAAGCATACTCTTCGCTACCTACCCGGAGGAAGCGATGCTGGTGGAGAGCACCGAGGACACTAGTACGGCCCAGGTACCCTACAAGGGGGAGTGTGGAAGTAGCCCGGGGGCAGCCGACCCCAGTCTGGCTGCAGCACTGCCAGAGCCTGTCAGTGTGTTGCGGCCAGGATCCCCACTGACAGCAGCGAGTTTCTGCCGCTGCTAGGGCCCCGGGCTGGGACGCAGTGGAGTGGGAGGGCCTGCGTCCCCCTGCCACCCACTCCTTGGGTGGCAGACTCCCCCTTTCTCCTGGCCTAGAGAGGCTGGGACCTCTTGCTCCTTGACTCAGCCCCTGCTTAAGGGCCTGGGTTCCTGACTGACTGTTTGATTGCTGTCCCGCCCTGACCTAGGGCCTGGGCTGCTACAAACATTGACTCAGCCCCTGCTTGAGGGCCTGGGTTCCTGACTGACTATTGGATTGCTGCCTCGCCCTGACCTAGGGCCTGGGCTGCTATAAACATTGACTCAGCCCCTGCTTGAGGGCCTGAGCTCCAGACTGTGTGGTTGCTGCCCCGCCCTGATTGAGGGCCCGGGGCTTTTTCTGACCTATTGGCTCAGCCCCTGCTTAGGGGCCTGAGCCCCTAACCGTGTGTTTGCTGTCCCAGACTGCCACTGGACCAGGACTGACGGCGGACCAGAGCGAGGCGGTGGGATACCCCACAGTCCCGCTGAGGGCCAAACCTTGGCAGAGACTATTACAAGGGGCTTTTGGATAACTTCCCAAGACGAGGCACTTCATTATAGGATGGAGTTATGAGTCCCCCTACATTGGGACAGTTGCAAAGCTCTACATTTCCTGGCCGTGCTGGGGAGAAGTCACAAGATGGCAACAATTCAGCACGATCAGAGCTTGAAATTGTCTCAGATATTGCAGCCTTCTGCACTGTGCTGGCATGGGGCATGGATGAAACACACTGCACTCCAGCTATTCTGGGCCCCAGGTAGTCATACAAAGCTGCTGTAATTTAGGGCGGACTTGGAGCTATCGTAAGCTGTGTTGGAGGCCAAGCAGTCTCTTGAAGGGGGATCATTTCCACACTGAGTCAGGAGATTTGATTTCCCTTCTATCTAGGCTTCCGTAACCAAAAGTATTTAAAGGCAATAAAATTTTCCAGCCATACAATTTGATTCACAGCAACAATGCCAGCAACTACAGGAGTTTCTCAAAAGAAGATGAGTACTGGGCGGTATATGTCTCAGAATCCAGATAACTGCAATCTACAGACCATACGGCCATGAATTTCCCTTTTATATTGTTTCATGACTATCCCTCTCTTCAAAGAGCTCACAACATGGGGCGCTGCAGCTATCCACTACCTGGGCAAATTATTAAAACTGAAGGAGCACCTGCACATGCCGGGTGCTGTCCACACTCAGAGGAAGACAAAGTCCTTGTCCTGAAATCTATAGCATGTCAACCTACTAGACTGACAATACAGCCTTCACTGACTGAGCTGATGTTCAGAGTCCCAATTAAAGAGTCCCATTCAACTGCCTTGTATGCATCTACACAGAGGGACTTCTACTCTGACCCAAATGAGACCTAGTTCGGATTCCTTGGTTTTCTGTAGAAACCACACCCTTTGCATCTTCAGGTCTGGTAAAATGAGGCTATTCCTGGTGCCCTGTGTTGTCTACTCAAAACTTTTCTGAGATTAGCCACCAGTACTGGCCAGTTTCCAGGGACTTGGGGAGGCCAACAGGGGTACCCAGTCAAAGCCCCTCACTATTCAGTGACTGTAAAGCTTGGGAGGAGAGTGGGCAGGCAGAACTCAGTGCAGGATAGAGGGGAGACAGTAGTAAAGATAAGTTGGTTCCCTTCCCTGAGTATACTCTTAGGAGTAGAAGTGAAGATATGTTAATTCTTCAGCCATTAGGCTGGTGATTCTCTTATATCTGAGGATCTTAGGTCATATTCTAGCATTACTGTTCAAACCAAATTGTATTTTTCATCTGTGAAGTACTGGCATGTGTGTCTAGGAGCTGCTGAGAGACCATTAAGGTTTATAGCTTGTTAATAGGTGGTGATCAACTGCCCTTACTAGCAGGCTCCTCATGGAGAGGAGCAGAACCTGGAAAAAAAATCTAAAGACTTAAAATTTCTTACCCCGTGGTTATTCCACCTTAAACTTCCATGTACTCCAAGAATTTCAGCTCCAACGGTAAAGGAAATTCCCCATTTCAAGTCTTCATGGCTGCTGGCATCACATCAAGTCAACCCATGTAAAGGTTTTCTTCCCCCCCGTCTTCTCAGTGAAACTTCCCAGTAGCAATATGTACACCTTAGATTTCCATTATAAGCCCATCTTGTCTTATATGAAATAGGGTTGGACATGGATAATACTTGGATGAAGGACCTCTTAAAACCCAGATAATTGTCGAAGAGGTGTTAGCTATTTGGTGTGGCACTCTGATCATACTGACCCAATCCCGCAGTGTGCAGCTAGTAGACGTTGTACTGTTGCAGGTGCCATCTTTTAGAGGAAACAGAATACCAAGGCCCTGAACATTTGTGACAAGGATCCTATGGCACTTTTGAAAAGAGTTGGGGCATCAGCCCTGGTGTCCTGGCCAGATTCTAGTTTGAACAATTACACTGTCTCCCTTATTTCCCCCTACAGTTCTAACTGGCTGCAAGTTCTCTTTTCACTTCTTGTCCTCAACTTCTATGGAGTTACGGTGAACTGTTAAACAACTGCTGCATCCCACTAAAAAGCAAGCTGTGTTTCAGCAGTGGATGAAAGTATTCCTATAGATCAGAAAAGCTTTGTGATCATCCTGGCTGAGAGGCACTATTTAAAATATGCCATTCTAAGTCTCATGTTTATTGTACTCTGGCTTCAGAAAGCACTGAAGTGTACACTATGCTATACTGACATGTTGACACAACCAACATCCTTGCTCCTAAGCAGCCCCCTGCTTGAAAGGGCCTGGTATGTTTACAATTGGAGTACTGTAGTTAACCTCCCTCAATCTGGGAAGTGACTTGGCCTTTAAAATAAGGCTCAAAACTAGAGAGCTAGTGTATTAGGAATTTGTTTAAAGAGCTGCCCAGTTAATTAAGGCTTCTTCTTCAGACCACTTCTGCACTATACCAAATTTTGTGTCTGGTGTGTGTGTGGGAAGGGGCATAGTTACAATAGCCTGGATCCCTGAAAAAAATGTAGAAACATTGATCAGTTCTGCAGCATAGGAGAGACCAAACCATACACAAAAATCTTGCTCAAGCTTTGGACTTTTGGTGTTGTAGCTCAACTCAGGAAAACAATTAAAACCCAGTTGAGTTCAACTTACATTCCAAGAATAAACCATGTTTTTTAACCATGTCAGGTAACCACTGCATTATAACAGCATACTCTGACAAGAGATTTATAGTGTGTCTGGCACCTGAGCCTTTCTGCTTTTCTATGGCCCTTTCAGAAGAGAGTTAATTCCCATTAGCATTTTTCTAAAATCTCTCTAATTCTAGCCTGGATTCCAACCACGGAAGGAAAGAGACAATGCAATACGTGAGGGGAATTACACATCTGCACCACGGGTTATTAGGTTATCGTGCACGTCACACAACAGCTTCCCTCTCTTCAGAAAAATCCCACTTTATGAACAAAATTCTGCCTCAATCTCACCAAGATACTTGTGCCACACCTCAGGACTAGACCATCATTATCACTCTTTATTATAGTCGCATTAGAGGCCACAACCAAAATCAGGATCATATTGTGCTAGGTGCTGTTCATACACATACCAAGGCACAATCTCTGCTTATTGATTCAGAGATTCCAAGGCCAGAAGGGACCACTGTTGTCATCTAGTCTGACTTCCTGGATAGCACAGGCCACAAAACTTCCCAAAAATAATTTCTAGATAATATCTTTTAGAAAAACATCTAATCTCGATTTAAAAATTGTCAGTGATTAGAAAAGCTTACAGTCTAAATAGACAAGACAGAC